ATTTTCTTCGGTCCTATCTTCAAGATTATCTTCTACAATTTCATTTACCAACACAAATACTTTATTGAAACCCTTTTTACTTTTTCAAATTCGTCATGATAGTTCTCTAGACAAATTCTATAGACCAAGAAAAGTTAAACATTACCCTCCCCCAAAACCTCGTGATAAAACAGCTAGATATGATGGATTCTTAAAGGTACTTTAATCAATACAGTTTATATAGTTTAAAAGAATGTCTTTTAACAGTTCGAATATGATATTTTAGGCGAAACGCAAACGATTAAGAAGAAATAAGACTCCTTAAGTGGTCGAAGGATTGAGATCAACTAAATTTATAATTCTTCAGAGTTAATATTTCATTTTAAAATTTTTCAACTCGAGAAAACCATTGGAACATTAAAGGGTTCAAAAATTTGGTATTGGAATTACTAAATTTAATCTAAATTTGAATCTACTATAATTTTTGTTTTAATGGATAAAGTATTTGTATAATTTTTTTTTTTTAAAAAAAAAAAGTATAAATATGTATTTTAAAATATAAAATCAAAGTTAAAAGTTTTGATACATAATCAGCTTTCTCTCTATAAATACATAAATTAAATTTTTATATGTATTACTAAATAATTAATTATATCCTCCATATTTTAGATTACTTAATAATCAAAATTCTAAGCATTTCAGAAACTTGTTTTAAATGTTTTTAATAAAAATAAAAGATTAATTATAATTCAAAATTAAAGTAAATAAAAAATTATAAAGTATTTAAAATATATATAATTTTTAAATTAAAATTAATTACATAAATAATTAAATTAAAATAGTTTAAATTAAATGTAAACAAATTTTTAATACATTACATAAATCATTTAATATTTTTATTAATTCAAATTAAAAATTTTTAGTATATATTTTTTTTTAAACTTTTATGCTATTTTATTTTTAATATTAAAATGTCTATTTTAGTACAAACAATTTTTAATCTGATTAATTAAATTTCTAATATTAAAATTATTTATTAATTAAAAACATACATAAAAATATAATATATTATAAAATATTAAATAATAAAAAATTAAATTGTTTAAATCTATTTAATTAAATATTAAATAATTATTAATTATATTCAAATAAATCATATAAATAAAATCAATATAAAAATTATAATAATTTAATTAACTTATAATATAATTTTATATAATAAACATTTATAAATATTTTGTAAAGAAAAAAAGGAAATTTTTATTATTTATTTTATAAAAAATTGAAAAATTATGTTTTCAAAAAAAATCTATGATATTAATATTTTATAAAATAATAGTTAATTTTCAAAAATATATTATTTGATGTCTATTATCTGAGTGACTTTTATTATTATTTTAATATGTGATTAATATTTTAAATTTTTTTATTAAATTTCACTTTTTTTTATGTTAACAACTTTAACTTTTTCTTTATATTATTTAACTTAACAAAATAATAACTATACAATTTTTATTTTATTAATTAAAAAAACAATTTTATCATTTTAAAATACATAAAGTAATATAAACATAATAATATGTAAAATAATCTTATTTATAAAATTTAATAAATTTATGATTAATTTAATAAAATTTTTGAATTAAATAATAAAATATTATCTGATTAAATAGAACAATTTCTAGTCATTTAAACTTATAATAGTATTTTTATTTTTTTTTTTTATCTATTAAACTTTTATTTGAAAAATTATTATCTAGAGGTTAAAACTGAATTTAACATTCAAATTTAAAGTCAAATATATTCAGTTTAAATTTAAATCTAAAATAAAATTAGCTCAATATAAATAATTAAAATAATTTAACTATTATGACTAATATTGATATTTAAAAGCATTAATATGTAAATTCTTAATTGAAAAATCTAAAAATTTATTTTTTTTAGGATTTTATAAAAGATAAATTGAAAGTGTTAAAATCATAATAATATTATGTATAATTAAAGTAATTACACTAATTATATGATATTTGATATATATAATTTATTAAGCTTTAAATTTAATCTATAATAAAGATTCAATATTTAGATTTAATCTAGATCTAATTTTTAAAATTAAATAAATCTGAAAGTAAAAATAAACTAATTTCAATCTCTATCATATAGATATCTGCTAAAATCTTCTCAAAATAATTTTGTCATATCTATTTCTATATTTTTAATATAGTTTTAGCAGTTTCAGTTTTTGTCATATCGAATAAGTTTTGTCGTATCTCTTATTATGATTTTAATATAGTTTTGTCTAAGTTTTGACTGTTATTAAGGGTTTTATCCCTCATCTATACTCTATCATTATCTTCTTCATAAGATAATTTTTCTAATTCTTCAATAAATATCAGTAATTCTAAATTTAAAATTTACTCAATAACTAATATATTATTTTAGAAACTTATTTTAATTTAAAATAAAAAACAAAAAAATTATTTTTAAATTTTATATTATAACTATTAAACCTGTCAAATTTGCAAAATTATTATCAAAACTATTAAAACTTCAAAATTATTGAAACTTATAAAATCTATTAAAATTATTAAAATTCACTAAAACTGTTAAAAAAAGTTTTAACTAAATATGGGTATTGAAATCTTTGTAAGCATTTCTGAAAGTTTCAGATTTCAATATATACGAATCAAAACTTAACTCATAACTAAAACTTTTACTAAATTCTGAAACTATTTTTGATATCTGAAATATATTTCAATTTTCTGAAATTTATTCTATAATCCTAAACTTCTACCAAATTCTAAAACTAAATTTTATTATAAATGATCGCTATACCAGATATCTGATTATGTAATAGCAATAATCTCTTTTTCCTTTTGAAATGTCTGATAATAACGAAACTTCAACTCAAAAAAATTAAAGTTCATCAATTCTGGTGGACGCTCAAAAAAACCTATTTGGAGATTTTTTGAACAAGAAAATGAATTAGATAAAGAATATTATGTTATAACATGTTTAGCATGTGACCAAACTTTTCAATCTGAAAAGACCAGAATAATGGAAAAACATATAATTAATTATTC